GGCTCGCTTTGCACATAATGCGCTGAAGAGCAAGTCTTGGCACCGGAGGAAGCACCCACCACGCAACAGGCTGTTTGGCTAAGGGAAGCCGCCCTGGACGTTCAACCACATTCCCGTCCCCCAAAAAGTTTAAACCGAATCATGGACTTTATGTTTAAGACTTTATGCCTGTTAGCTAGCCAGAAGCAAAGTGGCCTAAGGAGCAACAGAAGCCAGAAACCGAAGGGAAGAAGTGAATCAGGAATCAGAAATCCTTCTGAAAAAGGAAGCCGGCAAGTTGTGTCTGCACAAAAGAATGGGGGGGGGAGGGGAGGGCGTGGGATGAGTAAGTCATACTCGGGAGAAATAAAACTGATGAACGATTTTGGAATTCTGGCCTTTCTCGTAGGAGCGCAGATGTGGGAGGAAGTTGGAGACAGAGCCACGCAGCAGCAAGGAAGTCGGCCCCAGAGCTGCTCCTCCCCACCCTCTGGAACCAGCGACCCCCAAGCCCCCTCTTGGTGCTGATGAGAAAGGCGGAGGGCCTCGTTTCTGCCGGAAGCAAAATGGGGGGGGGGGGGGGGGTTGTTGCACCCTTGACTATTGCCAGGGAGGGGGAGCGCCTGAAGAGCAGCTGGGCTCGGGTCGAAGCCACGGAAGCCAGAGGGCCCCTGGGAGGAGTCGGTTGCGGGGGGGGGGGGGGGTGGCCTCCGAAGGCATGGAAGGCGGCTCGAAACCCATCGGAGCTCCCAAGGGAGCCCGAGGAAGAGCCACCATGGAGAGGCCCTCGGAGGCCGCTGCCGAGCCAGGAGCAAATCCCGAGAGATGCCATTCACTTCACATCCTCCCTGCTGCCCTTGAACAGCCCCCACTCTTGTCACCACCTTCCTGCAACAGGTCCAGCCCAGCAACGGTGCCAAATGGTGCACCTGGAGGGGGCCGTGATTTGCCAAGGCCGAGACGGGCACTCTGGCGGCACTTCCCGCTTCTTCTCCAAGAGGGGATGGCGAGACCCACGCTTGGCACAAGGAGGAATTTCTCCTCCTCTGGAGCTTCCCAAGCCAGGCTTGGCCCGAGGGCTGCCCACCAAACACCTGCCTGCTCTGGGCCTGCACAGGCCAGGACTTGCTCCTGCCACCAGGAACAAGAGCACGTCCAGTCCGCCTTCCGCAAGAAGAGGCTTTGCTCCAGCCACTTTCTTCTGCCAGTAAGAAACTGGGTGAAAGAAAGACTGCCATGCAGGGCATCAGTTCACCCGGTGACAAGCCAGCTGGGTGTGTTCTTCCTTTTCCTGAACTAGAACATCCAATGTAAGACCAGGTCCAACTTTGTTGGTTTAAAAGGTCTCGGAGGCCCTTCCGCCCCAAAGCCTCCCTCTGAAGGAGCAGCAGAAGGGCCGGCCGCGGTTCCCATCCACATAAATAAGGCAATGGCCACCACAGGTCGGAAAAGGTGCGTCCGACAGAGCAGCAGCTGCAGCAGCCGGCCCTGAAACAGACGCCTCAGAACCGACGGGGCCATTTAGAACCACGAGAGACCCAGCTGAGCTGCAGCCAAAGGCCTGCTGGGGATTCTCTCCAGCCTTGCAATGCCAGCCACGCGCAGGCCGCTCTAAACCCTCTGCGGCTTCGGGGATCTGCCGAGTGGGGGAGGGCAGACACAGGTACCAAAGCCCTGCTCAACTGCACCACAGCAGCCAGCCCAGAGCCACAGGGCCCGCCAAGGAGCCCGCTTGCTGGGCCACAAACCGGGTTTCCTGTCCCACCACTCAGCGGGGGGACCACCTGCCCTTCCTTGGCCGAGGGGAGTTCCGACTTCTGGCCCTGGAGTGGGACCGAAGGCAGGAGGGGCTGTGGCTCCTTCCGGCAGAACCAGGCGGCCGAAGTGTAGCAATGCCGGGTCATCTCTGGCCCCTCCATGATCAGGAACGTCCAGGACTGTGGCTGGATGAAGATGCCCCCTGCGAAGGGCCTGGTCTGGGCTTTCGAGAAAGAGCCGTTGTTCTCAGAGCCTGGACCATGGCAGGGAACCCCAAGGCCCAGGCTGCCTCTAGGTAGGGCTGCGCATTCTGGCTCAGCCTGACCAACTCGCTAGGACAGCCACCAAAGTGGGGCAATCCATCAACCTCAACCTCGCCACCCCCAAACCGAACGGTACCCACCTCTTCCCTGCTCGGCCCGCGTTGGGGTTCAGAGGGAGCAGGAGGGCAGCCAGGGGCCTCCATCCGGGGGAGGGTGCAGGCTTGCCACCAAGGGCAGGGAGAGAGCATGGCGAGCTCCGTGTTGCAGAGATGCTTACAGCACCACGAGCCAAGACGCAGCGGAGGCTTTATGAGCACAGCCTGGTCCGACAGGTGTTCGGCGTCACCTGAGAACCTCCCAACCAGCGGAGGATGGGAGTGGCCCCGGGAGCAGGAGCCCCTTCCTCTCCAGTTTCACCTCTCCACCAAGCCCTGGTCTGTCTCCGCAACTCAGCAAAGGAAAGGAGCCGCTTGTCCAAGCCAGACAGAAACAGCCATGGCAAATCTCAGGCCAGAGATTCCTTGAGCACCAGCAGGCAGCCCTTCCCCCCCCCCCCCCGGGGGGTGGCGGGTTCAGCTGATCCACCAGGAGGCACCCAGGCAACCCACAGGCAATTCGATTTAGGCAGAGCTGCCAGCACAGAGACCACCTGCCTAGCAGCCCAGATTCTCAAGGGCGAGGGGGCTTCCTAGCTGACCCCAGGGTCCTGGGGAGTTCGGGTTCAGAATCTAAGTTTCTGTTTGCAAGAAATGCACAACGTGATGCTCCCACATTGAAAACGCAAGTCAAAATAGCAACCAGGCTGAACTCCAGCAAAGGCCGCCTCCTCCTGCAGCTCTGGAAAAAGGAAGGCGATGGCTTTGGGGTCCAGAAGAAACTTGACCTGGCAGTTTTAAAGACCACGCAGAAAACCCTTCAAGGCTTGGGAAGCAGATCAACATCTCTGCAAGGGGGGCCCAGCCCCCAGGCGAGGCATCCGAGAAGCCAGGGGTTAAGGAGGCTGCCTTTCCAGGCTGGCCCTGCTCCAAGCAGCCTGGGCCCAGAGCGAGCGAGCGCCAGAAACACCAGCCAGCTCGGTTAAAAGCCAGGCTTGCCGCAAAACTGAAACTGGAACCCAATTGCCTTCGCCAAGCAGGCCAGCCCGGCAAAACCTTTGGCAGGGAGTCTCCTCAGGTCTTGGGAAGGAGCCAAGCCCTGTGGCTGGAAGGAAGCGGAGTCCTCTGGGACCTGGGTGGGGGTCTGCGTGGAGCCCTGCCAGCTGCCTGCCCTAGAAGGATCCTCAGGCTGGGCCCTGCCCCCTCACGGGTCAAGCTGGGCTCCCCACTTGCCTCCCCTGCGCTGGGGGGGGGGGAGAGGGGGGATCCTGCCCTTCAGGCGCCAAATGCCCAACAACACGGGATGCTCCGGCAAGGACGCAGCCGGCCCAGCTGCCCCGGCGCCTGCTTGGGCCGGCTCGGAGGGAAAGGCCGGCGGGGAAAGAGCCGCGTCATCGGTTCCTGGGAGAGAACAGGCGGGAGGGGACAGCAGCCACAATACCCGAAGCTTCGGCCACCTTAGCTCAACTTCGCTGCCCGGAAGATCGCCCCCCGCGCCCCGCGCCCCCGGCGATGGTCGGCGGTGCCCCTCGCCTGCCCCTCCCCGCCGGCCAGAGCCCGCCTGCCCCCCGGCCCTGGAGCTCGCGCCCTTCGGCCGGCCGCGACGGGGCCCTTCCGGCCGCCACATCTGGCCTCCGCCTGGCGCAGAACATCTGCGGGAGAATCGGGCCGCCCTGCCCTCCCCTCCTCCATGCGCTCCGGGGACGGACGGAGCCCTCGCAAGGTCGCGGCTCGGCCCGGCAGATTGTCCGACGGGGGAGGCCGAGCACCCGCAGCCCGCGGGAGGGACGGCCAGGGGCGCGTCTCCATCCCGGGAAGCCCGGCGGGCAGCGCATCTCCCGAGCCGGCGGCGCGCTTCTCGCCCGGACGCCGCCGCCGCCGCCGCCCCCCCGGCCCCCACTCACCATGGCCGCGCGCGCCGGGTCCGTCGGGTCAGGGCGCAGCTGCAGCCCGGGCGCCGCCACGGAGAGCTCGGCGGAGCAGTCGCGCCATGCAGGGAGCCGGACTGGAGCCGCCCCTCGCCGGGGCCCTGGAGCCGGGCCGAGAGGGCGGCTCCGCGCGGCGCTCCTCCCGCTGCCCGGCCCGCCCGGCCCCTCTGCCCAGACCAGGAAGCTCGGCCCGCGCCCCGCAACAGCCTCGCCAGGTGGGCCGGTCGGCTCGGGCGAGGGAGGAGTTGCACTACCCGGCGAAGGCGGAGCTGCCGCGGGACTCCCGTCCGGCAGCCGCAGTGGAAGGGCCTCGGGCACCGCCCGCCCGCCGCCACCCTGCCCGCCCGGACCGGCTGAGCGGCCAGGACGGAGAGTCCCGGGACGTCGGGCGGCAGCGGCCCCTGGCGGTCGCGGGGGAAAGAGCAGGGCCAACCGCCCTTCGGGCCCCAGAAGTCCCCGGCCGGCCCTCTTCCGTCACCGCCGCCGCCTGCAGGGCAGCAGGGGTCCCGCGGCAGCCCCAGCGGGGCGCTCCCGTCCGCCGCCGGACTTGCGCGGGGCTTTCCTGCGGGGGGAGGGGCAGCCGAGTCCAGGACTGGACGCGAATCCGCGGGAAATACCGGGTTTTGCGCGGGGCGGTTTCCGCTTCTCGCTTCCTCTGCAGCCCTTTGGGGGCTCCTGGCTCCGCTCGGGGGGCAGCCTGGCCGGCCTCGGCTGTGCTGCGCCCTCTAAATCCGCTCCTTTTCTCCTCTCCCGCCAGGAGGGCCTCGCTTTCTGGAGGAGGAGGAGGAGATGGAGGTTGCCATAGCGACAGCGTCCTGGCAACCGCTCGCAGCGCTTTGCTCCTTCCTTCCTCCCTCCCTCCCTCCCTCCGCCCCCCTTCCCCCAGGACGCTGGCAGAGGCCCCACCCGCAAAGAGACGAGAGGGCAGGTGCGCCTCTGCCGCGCAGCCCCAGCCCGACGGCCATGCCAGCCTCGGGGGACGGCTCTGGCATTCCTGCACATCTGGGAGTGGGCAAAGGAGGCCGCCCGATGCTTAGGCAGAGGTCTGGGGCAGCCCTGCCCTGCTACCCGCAGGTAAGAAGGGGTTCGGGCGCAGCGCTTCCTTCCCTCAGTCTGGAAAGGGGGCACCCGAGGCTACTCTGGTCCTGCCAGCCACCTGCTTCCTCAGGTGAGCAGGCATCCTGGCCAGAATGAAAGGGGGGGGGAACGAATGGGGGAAGGTTTTGCTCTGGAGATGGGCAGAGCCAAAGCAGCCCCCCTCCCTCTGGCGATGCCTCTCCCTCTGGGCTCTCAAGTTTGAGCATCATGTGGGGCTCTCGATGCAGATGTGGCATGTGGTGCTGTGAGTTGCTGAGCTGCCTGGGGGGAGCGGGAGACCTTCCGGGGGGGGGGGGGGAAACCAGGGCCCCACTCTGCATTACTGGCCCTGAAAGGGGGGAGAGGGCAGGTCTGCCCAGCGGCATCAGCCCAGCGGGGGTCCCTGGAGAAACGGGCAGGAACCATGAGGAGGCTGGGGGGGGGCGACTGAAGAGGGGAGGTCTGGAATTTGGCACTTTCAGACAATTTCTCCCTTTCCAGGGCGGGGGGGGGGTTTCAAACAAAGTCCCCCTTCCAGGCCAGAAATGCCCATCTGGACCCCCCTCCCCCCTCTTGCAGCAATGCTGCCCACAGGTTTGATCTGCTTGGATCCCACTTGGGGGCCTTTGGGACACCCGAGCTGAGCCTCTGCCACCCTGGGAGGGACTTTCCTGGAGCCCAGGTTTATTTGGGGGGGGGGGGGGGGGAGTGGGCAGGCAAGGAGACCGGCCGTCCTTCCTGCTTTGCTTGCCCGGCCAGATGGGAGACCGGCTGGCTGGCAGAACCTCAGCCGTTCTTGGACTGGCAGGCGGGCAACTGGGGGGACTCTCCAGTGGGGGTGTTTCCAAGGACCGCTGGTTGCCATGGAGATCCTCCTCGGTTATTCGGATGCACCCCCCGCCCCCCCCCCCGGCCTCTGGTCCAGCCTGCTTTGCTTTGGAAAGAGCCTCCCTCCAAGCAGCCCCCCCCCCCAGAGAAGCCTTTAATGGGGGCATTTTAACAACTGGCCTGTCAGCGCCTTTAATTCAGTGCTGCTGCTTTAAGAGATGCGCCCCCCCCCCCCAGCAATTAGAAAGCAGCAAGAACAGAGGAAGCACCAGGGGGCCCCAGGGGCCAAAAGAGCTCATCGAAAGGGTCCCCCAGGGCCCCCCCTCTGCGCTGGACTTCACTGTCCACACCCCAGCAGCCTCAGGGAGGGTCCCTCGCGCCCTGCTTCCTCCCCCCCAACCTCTGGCTGGTGCTCCCCCTCCCAGCCTTCAGCCTCGTGGCGGAGATTCAGGGTGGGCTGGCAGGCCTGAGCCCACCTGGCTCCCTGCACAAGCTCCCTTTCCTCTGCAGGCGTGAACCTTCCCTGGGAAGAGAAGATGGCCCAGAGGAGCCCAAACTTCTCCACCCTCGGCCCGACCGAAAGGTACCCCGAGACCCCCAAGGAGGGGAAGAGAGGGGGGAGAACGGGGTTTCTGGGGGATCGGCCCAGCCTCGGGGGGGGGGGGGGGGGGGGGGGGGGGGCCCCGGGGCCCCTTCGGGGGGGGCCCCCCCCCCCCCGGGGGCCTCTGGGGGCAGCCGCCCCCCTCCTGGCCCTGGCCTGAGGTCAGAGGTCAGACCCAGAAGAAGCCACAGCAGAGGCTGCACAGAGCCGAGGGGGCGGGGGGGGGAGTCCGGGTTGGGTCCCACTGCCGCTGCCCCTGTGCTGCTCCCTCTTCCAGGCGCATCCGGAACTTCCCGCTGCACAGCCAGGCCCTGACAGCAGTTCCGCTGGGCTCCGCCCGCCTGATGGACCAGCTGGAGGACCGGATCCTCAGCCATGAGAAGACCACGGCGGCCCTGGTGGAGCACGCCTTCCGCATCAAGGAGGACATCGTCTCCACGCTGCACCACATGCAGCACAAGGGCGGCGGGGACCGGCTGGCCAGGCAGCTGCTGGAGGAACACATCCGCAACATCACCGCCATTGTCCGGCAGCTGAACCGGGACATCGAGGTCAGTCCTGGCAGCTCCCGGCCGGTCCGGGTCACGGGGCTCCCCTGAAGGGACGCTTGCTTAGAGAAAAGGAGAATGCCTCCCATGGAACAGCCACCCCTCGGCCAACCACGTCATCCCCGGACTGCCAGGCCCCCCCCTTTCCTGCCCTCGCCCACGTTGAGTGACGCCCGCAGGCTCCTCTGGAGAGGATGCCCCGTGGACACCTCCCCCCAGCTGAGAAATGCTGCTTGCCCCAGACGAAGCGCCTGGCTGGGAATGGCGAGAACTTGCATGCCAGGAGCTGCTTCCGCTGGGCTAGACCTGCCCCCCCCCTCTTTCCTCTCACAGCTGGCATTGAGAGGTAGACTGCTCCTGGCCTGGGGTCCTACCTGCTCCCAGGCGGTCTTCCTCCCGTCCCTTTTGGGAGACAGCCGTGGGAAAGGAAGCGCCTGCAGCTCCCCATTGCCCTCCCCCCTTCCAGGCGCTGTGGGGTGGGGGCTCATTCTCGCCTTTCCTGCGCTTGTCAGACTCTGCAGGAGCAAATCCGGGTCAGGGACAACCTGAGCTATGGGACAAACTCCACCTTGAAGAGCCTGGAGATGCGGCAGCTGTCTGGGCTGGGGGACCTTCGTGGACGGGTTTCCAGGTGAGGCTCCCCCAGGCTCAACGCAGGGGCCCCTCCCTGGGGGAGGAGGCTCCCGGTGGGAGGCCAGTCCTAGGTGGCCCTTTCTGAACCTGAGAATGAGGGGGCCTGGGGGAGAAGGCAAGGGGTTTGGGGAGCAGCAGTCCTAGCCCTGCTGGTGGGCTCTGCGGTTGGGAAGGTGCGCCGAGGATCAGAGCCTCTGGGAGCAGCCCAGGCCCCCAGGGCTGAGAGCAGCCGGCCGGGGCCCAAAAGCCGCAGTTGCCAAGGAACTTTGAGAGAGTCTGGGCAAAGGAGGCACCGGTGACTGTGCCCTCGTCCCGCCAGGCTTGTGGCTCCTGTGGGCTTTGGCATTCCTCCCTGGCCAGTGGGGGTGAGGAGGGGGCCTGGCGGGCGGGGAGGGGTTTCCACTGGCTCCAGACTCTTCCTTCCCCACTTCCCCAGCCTGCTCTGGGGCCCTCCCCTCCCCTCCCGGAACTATGTGGGGCTGTTTCCTGCCATGGGGACTGGGAACTTTTTGGGGGAAGTGCTTGGCTGACACCCCCCCCCCCACACACACACTTTCACTTTCCGTCCAAGGTGAGTCAGCTTCTCCTTCACCTGATGTCCTTTTGCTCAGTTGCCGCCAGGGTCTCCCTGACTCGGCCCTTCCCCTAAACCCCCCAGTCTGGACTCTGCCTCCTGCTTCCATCCTGCCTTGCTCGGGAGGAAGGGGAGCAGGTCCGGCTGGCTCCTCCTCCTCGGACCTTTCCAGCAGCCGCTCCCCCTTCTGTCCATCCCAGGTGCGACGCAGGGCTGGCCAGAGTCTCTGCCGAGCATAAGGTCACCTACGAGAGGCTCCAGAGCCTCAGCAAAGAGCAGCAAGCGACCAAGTTGGTCCTGGAGTCCAAAATCAAGGAAACAGAGATACAGGTGAGGGGCTTGAAGCGAGGGGTCACCCCTCCCCTCTCAGGGTGGGCCCTGTCCGTGGAGGCCCAGGGAGCCATTCAGCCAGGCCCCCAATGCAGCCATGCAGGCCCCCCAGGCTCACCAAGCACCTGCCCAGAGGCGGCTCTGGCTTTGGCCAGCCGGGCTTTGCAGGGGTTCCCCAGAAGACGCGTCCACAGCCCCCGAAAGAGGAGCAGCCCAGCTGCAGCCCTTTTCCTCTGAAACTGGCTCTGGTCTGGGAGGCCCCTGGGGGGGGGGGGGGTTTTTCCCCCCCCCCCCCCCGTCTGCTGGCCTTCTCTCCTTGCCCCTGGAGGAGCCGGGAGGGTTGAAGCAGCAGCTCAACGAAGGAAGGTTGAATCCTGGGCCCAGTTCAGGCCATTTGTGTGGCTTTGGGGTGGGGGGAGGCTGGATCCGACCCCCCTCCTGCAGTTCTCTCTGCTGGCTGAGCCTCTCTGGGAGGAAAGCTTCGGTTCTGAGATGGCTTCAGTTGCCATGGGAGACGCAAGAGCTGCACGGCTCAGCCATGGTTATTATTGCTGCATAAAAAGCTTGTGAACATTGGGGGTGTGTGTGTGCAGGGGCTTACTTTATTTATCTTGCTAACTGAGCAAAGGGGGGCGGGGGGGGGCGGGGGCGGCATTTCAGATAAAGAAAGCAGACCTCAGGAGCCCCCCTGGGTCCCTCCTCCTGGGTTGGCAGCCGGTCAGGGAAAGGCCGTGGCTCCCTCCCCCACGCCTCTCCCAGGACCTGCCAGCTGGGTTGGCCTGCCAAAGCCCCCTCACCACCTGGAGAAATTGGGGGGGGGGCATCGCTCCAGAAGAATGCATGAAATCACTTCCTCCACACGCTTGTCAGCAGCCCCTGGTCCGCCTGAGCCAGTGGGGAGGGGATCCCCAGCCCCCCTGATTCGCCCCTCCGTGCCCCCCCTTGTCAGGAAAATGGCTGCCAAGCCTCTGTCCCTGGCCTCTCTTTGGGGAGTCTTCCCAGCGCCATTCGGCGGGGGTCACCCTGGGGCTTCCCCTGGATCCTCCTGCCCCTCTGGGCCGGCCTCTG